TTTACTTAAATAAAAACTTTTACTTAAAGACAAAAAAAGTTAAAAAATATAAGAAAAATAATAATACTTAAAGAAAACTTAGGTATAGGTATAAGTATAAGTAGTTATACTAAGTTAAATTAAAAATATTAGTAAGTAAGTTATAAGTAAAAAAGAGGACTTCTTTAAAAATAATAAAGTTAATAAGTTAATAAGTTATATAATAAATATAGGCTTAAAAGGTTATTTACTAGATATTATAAGATTTCTAGTTACTAATAATTATTAAGTTAGGTAGTACTTTATTATCTTTAGTAAGTTATAGTAATAAAAAAAATATTATAAGCCTTTTCTAAGATCCTTACTAATCTATAGTAGTAGTAACTATAAAGTTAACTATTAATTAGTGTTAGTATTATAGGCTAGTTAACTAGAGGTAGTAAATAGTGTATATTACTATTAATATAAAAGAGGTATAATAGTTAATAAAGAAGAAGTTTAAAGTTAGTAGTTGCTGTAGATATTTGTAGAGGTGTAAGTAAGTAAGCCGCCAAGGTTAGTCACGTGACCTCAGATCAGCTCCACCCTCCGCCGGTGACAAATATCCTGACACTAACACTAACATCTCTACAACACTTCTCTGCAGTCTTATTGCCAGTTAGCAAGCAAACTAATGAAATTGTTCTATACAGTGTTATTAAATAATACGCCTACGTAGGCATAATAATATTAGGGCAAATTACTCTCCTTGACGCGCTAGTGAGTCAGAGCCTTGACAGGAAATCAATATACACCTGGCCTATCTATTCTAGTACACTCAACGCTGGTCATATTCTTAGCGGTGGCGGGAGAAACAGGTGCATCCACAGCAGCTGGCGTGACTGCGCATCTGACAAGCCTACGCTGTCTTCTAACGCTTCCACGGTCGTCCTAGTGCGAGCTGATGCCGTGGACTCGACGACATGCGTCCCAGAAGGTAATCCTTGAGCTTGAACGCCATCTTTCGAGTCTCAAACCCTCTCGCATTGTTTTTTTCTCTTTTAGATAGGGGGTATTCTCTACTTCAGGAAACAGTGCCTGTGTCTACAGTCACGTAGTAATCAAACCTTTCTACACTTTAATATTTTCATAATGCAGCATAAAGTGGCATACTGTAACTTAGACTTTCTTAATCTATTAATAAGAGACATTACTATATTAAACAACTGCAATAGTAGAGACATATTTCTAATGTATTAACAAGGTACTTATATGCCTAAACTAGACCTAAAGATAAGACAAAGGATACTGTCCTTGAAAGAGCAGTGTTAAATAGTAATGCATATAATTGCACACAACTTATTCAAGTTCCTTGTATTCTAAGTCCAAATACCTTATGCTACAATACCATCGTCCATTACACATTTGTGGTCCTACTACTCCATTCCTCAGGTATCTTCATGTCAAGTGCTCTCCCTTAAACATGATCTAAATTCGCCCAGATTCAGGGAACCAAGTGGCTACAAGGACAGCTTTACAAAGATAATAGACAATTAGATATTATAATCAGGTATACAGTCTTTGTATATATTAGCATCCATTAGAGATAGCAACATATGAAGGCTAGTGGACAGAATTCAGAGTGTAGCAGGTAATATACATCCCAAGGTAATAGACCTAACAACAAGCAAGTCAAGAGATTATTTCAGGTAAAACAGCAGCCAAAGTATTATAACCTAGGTCAGCTACAGCATCTCAACCTGCAAGAACAAACGCCGCCATCACCATCTGCGCTTTTCACTCTTCCAGGCTGTCCCAGCTGTTCAATCGGATCCAAGTTCCTCATAGCAGTAATAGGAGCAAGAGAGCCTATCCAAGTGTCAAGATTCTTTCTCTTACATGTTCCTAAATGATGCTCCTAGAGTCCTCTCTAATGTGCTCAATAGGATAAGTCGCTGGCTTCCCTCTAAGTTCGTCAGCAGCTTTCTATTCAGGCATATAAGACTTAGCAACTATCCAAAGTCTAATTTCTTAATGCATGCAGAACCGCTGGCCATAAGCCTCCTAGAACGGTTTTGTCGCTGTGCTTCACGTCTCATCTGAGAAATAAACAGCCGGCTGGCAGACTCTATTCTCCCGTTCTCTGTTCTGCTCATCGTCAAAACACCAAACAGCGGAATACTCGCATCTGCATGTGGATAACATGCTTGTAGGCCGACAATTACAGCCCGAAGTGATCTAATTATTAAACATAGGTATATTGGATTGTCCGCTAATTAGATAGATATTTCTTTGAAAATACTTAGAGACTTCTTAGGGAATTGCTGGTTGGTTTACCACCAAAGGCCCCGCCTTTTCTCGGCTAATTGGCTGTATATTTCTCTAGTTGACTGCCTGCGAATGTTAACAGGAAATTACTTAGGGAATAGACAGTCTGTTGCATAAAATATATAAGGTAGAACTTCTAAAGAAAGGGTTTAATTTTTTTATGTAACACCTACTAGTCCTTAGGCAGAGTAGGTATTCCTTACAAGAGAAAAACAAGGCAGGCAACTAGGCTAGAGAATATCCTACTCCTAGAAAAACTGCTACACCCTGAAAAGCTGCCACATCTCGCCAGTCAGAGGCCCTCACTCAGGTTTCTCGCAGGCGCTTAACAGGCGCAAGTTCAGCAAGGAAAACACATCCACTAAGATCCCAGGTCAGCCTGCACTGCTGTTAATTCCACCTAAATTACCACGTTGCCATAGCTAATACCGCCACCATTGCCCCCAAAGTCTTATCCTTGGCCAGCGCTCTCTCTCTCTCTCTCTCTCTCTCTCTTGGGCTTGCGGAATAGCGGCGACTTGTCGTCTAAGCCGTCGGACTGGTGGGAACTGGTCTGTCTGGTCTGGTCCAAGTGAAGAAGTTAACGATAGGTGACGATAGGGGACGCTGAGGAGTTCCGTTAGCCATAGTCTGCATGAACTGTAATATACAGGATGGGCCCTGTGGCATAAGGTAGGTTAAAAATCAGGAGTGGCTCTTGGCTTCTGCTTTAACGCCAGATATGCAGGCCCCCCTCCTCCCAGTCTATTCCCGTAACATCTCACGGCACATCCTCTCGATTACGTTTCCGAAGCTCTCTATCTCTCTTCCCAGACCCATAAGCCCCCCTCCACGCGTGCAGAAGGGTCACTCACTTTTGACCCGGCCAGGAGAGGTCTTGTTAAAAAAGAAGATTTCCTATATCCTGAGGCAGTCAGGATGGAGAATGAAGCGTGGACGCACCGTGCGGGAAGACTCAAGCAGCGCTAGCTAATTAAAGGGATCCTGGTCCAGAGGTTCGTTCCTGGGGAGATGTGGCAACGTAGATCTAGTCATAGCCTTAGATAACCAGTGCATAGAGCGCTCCCAGATCTAACAGTGCTAGCTAGATATTTCTCTCAACATCCTCTACTGCAGGAGATTAGACGCCTTGTTGCGCGAGTTGCTTAGAGGCTGTTTGGCATAGCTTACGACAGAGCATCTTCAATTGCGAAGCCTGCTAGAAGCCAATCTGCAGTATGGCCCCTATCCAGGTCGTGCCTAGGTAGGTCTCCTAGTCTTTAGACTGACTGAGATAGGGTGGTAACAGAGCGCGCCGTACGACGTGTAGTTCAGGCTTAAACCGGGGAGCATTCGGCGCAGAGATAGCACCTTTACTAGTGAAGTTAGCTAGCTGTTGTTGAATCAGCTTTACGATTAAGGTAGATGCAAAAGTTTATTCGCTTTAGACTTCTGTATAGAGCCCCACAAGATGTCCTGGAGCATCGACCTTAGATAACGCCTTACGTAAAGGCAGTAATAATAGATTGGCTTTGGACTGGGCCTTGGAGATGATAGGCGCCAGAGTTTTAAGAAGCTGAAAGGCTGGAAGTTTGCTGCTACAACATCAGACGTACTGATATCCTCTGCAGGCCTGTTGTCTGCAGCAGCAGTAAGTCAGTTCTAGATGGATGTGAGTTGCAGCAGCACGCAGGGCCTGTGTCACGGTTTGTGCATAATCGGAGGGGAAGAGCGCAGCCAGACAGGGTTCGACGACTTGTCAGAAGGAGACGCGCATGTTCTCGGCTTTTGGCTCGAGCAGGAATGTCATCCAGCAGTAGTTATTGACGGCACCTGGCAGCAGCCCTGATAACCTGTTCCTAGTCGCTTCGATATTCACACCGCCAGCTTTGGTATTGCGTAAACAGAGATCCATACTTGGGGCAAGCTTGCAGAGGAGCGACACAGACAGTTGTCTCTTCTGACGGATCACAGACCAGTCATAAGATTAGCAGTCAGGCTCGTGGTCAACAGGCCGACGATAACTTAGATGTTGAGGATTCCCTTATAATGTCACCTGAATACGACAAAGTGCTGCCCAGCTTGGTCTAGTGATAGTCGGTGGCCTCCTAGCTAAGGGCGTAGAAACCACCCTGTGCAGAGCAGACATGCTCGTTAACTAAGCTGCGCACGGCGCGAGAGGGAAGGCTTATGAGACACTGCTTAGCCATGCCAAATTTTTGATTAGTATTACCTTAAGGAAATTCTGTAACCCTCTTATAAGGATTACGTACTAATAAGTTAGGATTAATGGTTTTGACGAAACTGGTTAGACAATCGAGCGCGCTGGTCTAGTACGTCTCGAACTTGGCCCGGAGGGCTTAACCCTCCTCAACGATTCGCTTCTTCATGGCGTACGCCTTAACAAGCTTGTAGTAGCTCTGCTCCCTCCCTTGCACTATCAAATAGTCATGATCTGCGTCAAGACTGCGGCACCTGTTGAGACAGCCCTGCTTGGTGTAGGTCTTGTTAATAGGGAACGCGATAATGTTGTAGTCGGGTGGCAGTTTAGAGGGCTACAAACGATATTTACCTGACAAGGGGCTGCCGATCACAGAGGCGCAGATGGAAAGCGTAGGCATCAGCCGTGTCAGATGCAATGATAGTAACGCATAAGTTATTGAAGTTATATATATTTGTTGTTACTGATCTACTAGCATGAGATCTTGGTGCAGATCTCCCTCGTGTCTATTGTGGAGCGGGAAAAGGTCTCGTCGCTGATCTGCAAGCCTGAGACGCCAATGTTGCCCTTTTTATAGGTATCTATCATCAGCTTGTCAGTACTAGATGGTTAAGGGAGTATAGATACAAGTATCAAACTAGTATTTGAGAGGTTGCTTACCTTGGCGTTGGCCTTGGTGTACCCTTTTGTGTGGCCACATCCTCAAGCCCCATGATGCTGATGCGCGTGTCCCAGACAGCACCCAGGGCAACGTTTAACATGGCTTGCCTATCCCATCCACCATCTGCGCAAGAGCGGAACCTAAACGTCTTCTTTTTGGCCTCAATATATTGGACGCTGGATATTGGGTGAGCCTCACAGAGCGTCTTATTAAAGTAGCTCTCAGTAGGCAAAGGTAGCAAGCCCTTAATGTAGCCCTTGAGGGAGGGCTCTGTCTGAGCCTGTAAGACAAAGTCCATATTAACGGTGCTAATGCGAAAGCCGGTCGTAAGAAGGAGTAAACTGGCCGAGATGGTGGCGTTGACTTGCTTGTAGGCGCCCTTTATTATACTATCTAACTGTGTCTTGACGTCGCTGTACTCCTCTGCGCGGATAAGTCCCTGCGCCCTGTGGGAAAATGCGGCATCGGTGTTGCCACTGGCAGAGGCGGTGGTGGTGGTAGTCTTATCTTTTTTCTAGGTGCGTTGTAGGCCACAGGCGACTTGGAAGCAATAAAAACCACCTTATAGATCATAGAAAGGTTAAAGCCTAAGTAGAAATAGTCAAGCTTAGTGTTACTTCCTGTCTCTATAGGGTAATACACAATGAGCTTGTCACCTAGGTCTAGCAGGGACATAAAGATATTAACATATATATATAGTAAGTGGCCTATTATAGTAAGTAGCCTACTTTCTTCTACCTTCCTACCTTTTTTATAAGTTAATTAAGCTATAATATATAAAATTAATTAAAACTACTTCTTACTATCTTCTTTATTACTATTCTAAACTACCTTATAAGTTTATATATTATAACTAGTCTTTTTATAATTACTATATTATTATATACCTAGTTTTTTACTTTTTATATAAGCCTTTTTTTAGGATATTCTTTTACCTTTATCTTTAATACTTTTTTTATAGTACTTTTACTTTAGCTATATTAAGTAACTTTTTAAAATATAGTAAGGTCTTTTTAGCCTTTTAGTACCTACTTAGTATATTTTACTTTATATAAAGTCTAAGATTCTTAGCTTTAATAAAAGTAAGCCTATATACTAACTTACTAATATCTTTAGCTTAAAAGTTAATAAGCTTATATATTACTATTAAAGAGCTACCTTAATATTATTAGATTATTTTTTAAAAAGGCTAAAGCTTTATATACCCTTAATTACTATAGTTAGTATCTTTAGGTCCTAAGAGCTATTACTACCTAAAGGTAAACTAAAGGGTATTAATATCTTTAGCGTAATAATTAAGTAAAAAATAATATTTTTAAAGTTATAAAATATAAGACTAGCTTATCTAAAGCTAGCTTATATATTTTTCTTATTAAAGTAAAAAGTACTATATTAAAAATAGAATAAAAGTTATTTTTTATAATATATAAAATCTATATTTATATTATGTTTTTAATCTTTTTACTATATAAGTACTTTAATAAACTAAAATAACCTATATTAAAAGGTTAAAGCTTATATAATAAATAAAAAAGTATATATAAAGTAATATTCTTTTTATTTTTTATAAAGATTATTAAATTTAGTTAATTTATAGCTATTATAACTATTAAAGATTAAAAGTTAATAAGTACTTTTTATATAAGACTTTATATATTAATTAAAATAATTTAACTAATTTAGGCTAATTTTATTTATTATTTATTTATTCTTACTTAAGTAAATATACTAATTAACTATAAATTAGCTATTTTAGTACTAAAAGAAAAAGTAATATTTACCTTTTATAATAATATATAAAAGTATTACTTAACTATCTATATATATATCTTAAATAATAAAAACCTATTTATAATTACTAGACTACTTTATATAAAGCCTTTTATATTAGTTAGAAGTTGTAATAACCTTTATATATAATAGTCTTTTTATTAAGAACTTAGTCTTATTAAATTTATAAATATTATAATCTTATACTTTATACTTTATAATTATATTCTATATAAGTATAAACTAGCTTTATATAATTATAAGATCTTTAGCTAAAGCCTTCTAATAGTTAATTTAATATTAAAATTATATTCTTAATTATAATTATTATTATATAAAGTACTTTACTTATTAAGGTTTAATATATATTATATTATATTTATTTAAAGGTTTATTATCTATATATAAGATAATAGCTATAGGCACTTAACTAGGTAAGGCTTAATAGTAGGTATTAGTATATTATAAGACTTAAGCTTATAAAGCCTAGACAATAAGGGCTCTACTACTAGAAAACTAGATAATAGGGTAGGGCACTAGAGGCTTAGTAACTTATTACTAAGACCTATAGCTATTACTATAAATCCTATTATAATTACTTTTTTCTCTCTTAGACTTTATCCTAAAGTTATTATATAATACCCTTTAAAGAAATAATAATAATATATAACTATAGTCTTTTTTTTTATTTAGAATAGCCTTATAGACTTTTTTTATTACTTTTACTAAAAGGCTTTATTATTCTAAACTATAGTAGCCTTATTATTATTATTTAGTTAAGTGTACTTTATATTTTTATTTAGTAATATATTAGTAAATAGTTACTAAGTTATAAGTTATTAAAAAAATAGTTATATAAAGATAAATATAATATAGTAAGTTACTTAGCTTATTTTCTTTTTACTTAGTAGTTACTTAAGTAAAAAAAAAATTTATTAGTCTTTTATTTACTTTTTTTTTACTTAGTAATTTTTTAGTAAATTTTTATTATTATAAATCTATAATTTTTACTATTATAATATCTTATAAGCTTTATTTTTTTATTTTAACTTTACTTTTTTATTTATATTTTTTTTCTTTTTACTAAGCCTTTATTAACTAATTACCTAAGATATTAGTTATTTCTTATATATAGATAGTAATTTAAATAAAGTATAATCTTTATAAAGGTTTTAAAGATCTAAAAGGTAATACTTTTTATATTTATTACTTTTCTAGTATATATTATAATATTACTAGCCTTATCTATATTACTAGCTATTATATTACTAAGTATATTCTTTACTATATTAATAAAAAAATATTTTATAGTAAATTATATTTTTATTAGTTAGCTTTTACTAAATACTAATATTTTTTAATAGGTCCCTTAGAAGCTCTATAGTATAGCCTAGTACTACTAGAATATAATAATTTATTACTACTACTTAAAAAAAATATACTTAGTAGTATTAACTATAGCTATATTTTACTAGCTTTTATTTATTATTTTACTACTTAAGAGTATATTATTAACTATATTATTAACCTTTTAGTAAGTAGTTATAAGGTCTACTTTAAGTAAGTTATCCTTTAAGAGCTTACTTTTAACTATAATTATATTACCTTTTTAGTCTAGGTTTAGGTAAATTTAGTAGTCCTTTAGTAATTATTTTATAATTAATTAATTTTAGCTTAGACTTTTTAATATCTTTAATAAAAATTAAATATATAACTACTTTTACTTATTTTAACTAGCTTACTTATATAATAATAATTATATACTTACTTTATAATTAGCTATTAATAACCTTAAGGACTATAATTTAGTTACCTAGAAAAGTAATAAGCTTAAATATTTAAATAAGTTTCTTTAGTTTAAAAAGTTTTATAAGCTAGTTACTAAGTACTTAGTAAATAATATTTTATCTTATATTATTACTATTTATAATATTATCTTTATTAGTTATAGTTATTAGACTATAACTTCTTATAAGACCTATACCTTAGAGACTACTTATATTTTTATTAGTAAATATAAGTATATATCTAAGTCTAAGCTTAATACTTTTAACTTTTTTCTAAGTATTATAATAAGTATTATTATATTAATAACTAGTTAATAAACTATTTTACTTATATTATCTTTTACTAAATTAATACTAATATTACTATAGTTACTTATAATACTATAGCCTTTAACTAGCTTAGTTACCTTTTTATTACTAAGTAGTTAGTAGCCTTAAGAACTCTCTATAGTCTTCTTAAAGCTACTAAAGCTAAGGCTAAGGCTTTTAGTAAAGACTAGGATAACTAAAAGTTTATATAAGCTTTTAGTAAGCTATAAATCTTTATTAATAATCTTATTACTACTAGTTCTTTTAGCTTTACTATTAGTAAAGGCTTAGTATAGTCTTTTACTTTAGTTTAGCTTACTACTAATACCTTAGCTACTTTTAATAGCTTTTTTACTAGCCCTTAGAGTAGCCTTACTACTTTTATATATAATAAGTTTACTAAGTACTTAGTAAATAATTATACTTTTATTAGCCTAAAAAATAAAGCCTTTACTAAAGCTAAAAGTAAAATAATTACCTTTAACCTTATTACTAATAAAGAGTAAGCTAATTATAATAAGTATATTAATTTTTATACTAATACTCTTTAGGCTATTTATAAAGCTAGTATTCTCTTTATTAATCTTTATAACCTTAATACTTAAGTATAAATCTATTATTAACTTTTTAGTAATAGTTTTATACTATTAATCCTTTATTTTAAATATTTATAAAGTATTTAAGTTAAATAAAATAGTTCTTAAATAGGTTTTATTAATAAATATATATTTAGTAAATAATTACTAATAATATCTTAGTTATTTTATTTTTAGTAAACTTTTTTTTTATTTTTTATACTTTTTAATTACTTTTTTTACTTTTTTTAAGTAGCTTAGTAGTTTTTATATATTATATTCTATAGGCTATTTAGCTTATTTTACTAAGTAATAAAGATTATTTTTATTACCTTAATAGCTAATAATCTTTTTAACTTCTTATATATTATTTTTTAGTTCTAGTTTAAAAAGTCTTATTAAGTTTTTAGTAAGTAGTTACTAATTTTCTCTCTAGGGTTCTAAAAGAAAGACTAAAAATATATTATATAGGTATTAGTACTACTTTAGTAAATATACCTAGTATACCTAACTACTAATTCTTTTTATAATAGTTACTTTAATATAGTATAATACTAGCTTTTTATTTTTAAAGTATATATTCTTTATTAAAAGCCTAATAACTTCTTTATAATAAAACTTCTTATATAAGTACTTTTAGTTATAATAAGTAGCTTATAATTTAGTAGCCTTTACTTATACTTTTATTACTTATTTTTTTACTTTAGTAATTTTCTTAATTTACTTTTTTACTTTTTATACTATAACCTTATAACTAAGTATATACTTTATACTCTTAAGGTAATACTTATATAGTACTAGAAAGGTATAAAGTAAGAGGGACTAAAGCAGTGCAGTAATCTAAAGAGAAACACTAA